CTTCCACTCTCTCTGAAAAGCAATGGGAAAAATATCCTTGGGTGAGAATGTAAAAGAGAAAAAAAAGGCCTCATTTAAGATGGATTCTGGCTTCTAAACAGAAAAAATACTCTAATGCTGTGATTAAATTTATGGTAACTATATAATTTATTTTCCAAATCAGGACCTATTTTGGAGCGAAAGAGAGGCATACTTTCAGACAGATTGAAGAGAGGAGATAGGGGATCTTTGACTTTCTATGTAACCTTGTTCTATCAGCAAGAGAGGCTTAATTACAGTCAATGGTGCGGAGCTAACTCAGCCCTTTCTGGATGGGGGTAGTTCCTTGGAACAGCTGCTCATCCTTAACAAAGACAGGTTTCCAACAGGTGCCTATAAAGAGGAGTCATAGAAACTTATGCCCCAGTAGAGCCAACAGTCTGGGTTAACCAGCCCAGACTTATTTGGGGAGTGCTTCTGGGATTTACTTATCTCATTATGTAAGATGATGGTTGATTGGTTAGCTTTTCTGTAGCCTTGGCAGCTCCTTAAGCTCCTACTGTGGTGGTCCTCAGTTGAGCCGGGGAGCTGGGGATGTGCTCATGGAGACTTTGCAGATTGCCCCCTGGAAGGAAGGGCAGAGCTCCAGGTAGAGAGTTGGCATCTAGTTTGGGCACTATAGGGTCTGGATGCCAGCATCCCTGCTGTCAGGTTCCTGTCTCAGGCCCTAAGATGCCAGTTCTCAAGCTTCATGGAGGCCAGAGGCCTTTCTTTGTTGGCCTTGCTCCTTTGTGAACTTTCTTCTATTGACTCAGTTCATTCATTTCATAATTGTAGTATTATATCATTTAAAGACTTTTCTAATCAAAGTTGAAAAATAAATTTGATCTAAAGGGAGTTTAGTATTTTAGGTATTATTTGTGAGCACTATATTTTTCTAAGAAAGCATGTGTGATAGTAAAATTATTATTTTCTTAAAATACTGATTTTCATTGTAGGAAGCCACAGCTCTGGCAGAAAACCAAGATGAAGACCTACTAGAAGGTAACATAAACCTTGTGTTACGGTAGTTAAAAACAAAGCTCAACCAGTTTCCAGGTTCCTCATTCACTCAACTGGCTAGGAACTGAGAGATCCTCCTGGAAAATACCAGCATAGGTTGCCTACGCCATTCTCTTAGCAATTCACTTCGTGTTTGCTTCTGTGAGAACAGCTTTAGCTAAGCCTCCTCTCTAGGTCTTTCTGGAGGACTGGGAAATGGGGACATTTCCAAAAAATAAGATAAGTTGATTTTAAGATCTATTTTCTTCATAAGTTTAGACTTCGGGATTAATTATGCTTTAATTTTTATTTTTAAGGACAAAAGCATGAGGCAGTCGCTGTGACCTTGGCTGCCTAGCTTCCCTCAGGGCTGTTGGTTCCTAGAGGACTCAACAGGCCCCCTCGGTCGTGTCAGGTGTTTCTTCACGTAGTTCTTGATCTGTTTTGAAAAGACCAAGGTTTATCTGCCCAGAGAAAAACCCTGTTTCTGACAGTGTCCTATTCAAGGAAGAGAACAATACATTTGGCTTCTTTTATTTATTTTAAGGGATGGAAAGAGAAATAGAAGAGAAATGCAGAGAATCCTTTTGCCCGTTTCTTATTAAATGCCTGTCTAATCACATGTCCATCTGGTCGCTTCCCCTGCCCTCACCCACCCCCACAGGACAAACCCACCCACTGCCTTCGCAGTTTTATCAAATGTGGGAGTGTCCGTCTTTGCAGTCCCAGTAACCAACACAAAGTCCTCGTGTTAGTTGGGGCTCAGGGTTTAAATGGTATGAAATGGATGTTTAAAAGAAATCTTCAAATGCTTATGGGGCAGTTCTAGTTTTCAGTACTTGGATTGCAATGTGAATAACAGGTGCTCATTTCAGCTCTCAGGGGGATTTCATGCTGGTTAAAGTGTGAGTCTGTTCTCCCTGCTTTTATCAGTTCTTCAGACACTATAAAAGTAACAGAGGAAGACATACAATAAGATTGTGCTTTCTGAGTCCAGACTGCCAGGGTTCAGATCTCTCTTACTCCCTCTGTAATTCCAGACAAATTAATCTCCAGTGCATTGGCATCCCCACCTATAAAATGGGATTTAAAACCCACCTCCTACGAAGAGTGAGGACAATAGCTCTAAAGTGCTTTTAAGTGCTTAACAGGGTGTGGCACATAATAACCCCTGGAGGGTTAGCTGTTCACACGCCTGGAGCAGCTCTATCCAGTAGGAAAGTAATACGAAACATAAATCCACCCACATAGGTAGTTTTACATTTTCTAGTAGCCAAACTCAAAAAACAGAAAGAGACAGGGAAAATTAATTTAAATATTTAAAACTTAATCTAATATATTCAAAATATTATTTCAACCTGTAATCAATATCAAAATTTAATGAAATGTAAAAAAATTTTAATACCAAGTTTTCAAAATGCAATGTATGTTTACATCACATCTCAACTAGGATTAGCCACACTTCAAGTGCTCGCTAGCCACCTGTGACTAGTGGCTACTGTATTGGACAGCACAGGTCTGGGGGGCCCGCAGGTTTAGGAAAGATGTAATGCGTTTGTCTTTTATAGGCTTCTATTACCCCTATGGCCTACATCATTAATCTGTGATTTCTAGCTGATGTTTGTTTTCTAGGCCACAGGTTACAGGAGAGACAGTGCTCGTGAGCATGTGGTCCTGACACCTCTCCCCCCACCACGGACATGCAGAGTCAGGAGCCTTTTAGCCAACAATTGCCCATGGCAATGAAGGAAAGGACCCTGGAGCGTGACTTTAGGAAAGAAAAATTCAGAAAGTTCAGGGAAACCTGGAAATATCTAATTTTATGACCCCCTAGCTCTCAAAGGAAAGATGGTTCAAAAGGGGTGGGAAGCTCTAAAGAACAAGTATCAGACGGCACGGCCGCAAAGGACCCCAGCGAAGAAAAATAAGAAGTAGCTCACGAAACTTATATGATGTGGGGCTATTGGATGATCTTGGTTCGACAAAGATAATTACAGAAGGACATCACATTAGGGAGTTCAGGCTGCTATAACAAAATGCTGCAGACTGGGTACAACAGAAATTTATTTCTTGTAGTTCTGGACAGTGGAAAGTCCAAGATTCGGTGCAGCTGATTCGGTTTCTGGTGAGGGCTCTCTTCTTGGCTTGCAGATGGCCACCTTCTCATATCCTCATGTGATGGGGAAGAGAGATCTCGAGCTCTGGTGTCCTTTTTATAAGGGGCACTAAGCCCATGGAACTAGGGATCTCATGATCTCATCTTACCCTAATTATCTCCCAAAGACCCCATCTCCAAATATCATCAAATTGGAAGTTAGAGTTTCAATGTATGAATGGGG